TTGCAGTTAGGTTGCATCCCTGTTCTTTATCATGTAGAGTCTAGATCTAGATCTAGATCTAGCACTTTGGTCATCAAGACTTCTGGATTTCTTCTCTGGATGTAAACAAATGGATCGTGGCCTTTAACGAACGGAACTACAAGATCACCGAGACAAGAGATCCTTTGAAATGGGGAACGAAGTGACTTGAAGTTGAGTCCAATAAGACAAAAATTATATTCAGACTCTGAATTAAGGAGGTTATCCGTACAATTGTGTGAACAACTCTGTCTAGTTATCCGTACAACGTTGTACGCACAATTGTACGAAGTGCTGCAGGTATCCGTACAATAGTAGGCCTGCATGCCCACAGGCCTACAGCCTACATGTTCTGTCTTTGTAGATATCTAAAGATCTAGATCTAGATCTAAATCTAGAATCTAGATCTAGACCTAGAAATTCTAGATCAGTTTCCAATATTCCACCAGCTGAAATTTTTAAATTTTTCATCAGACCTCATCTGCCGATCTGATGCCAGTCGCCTCATTGATGGTGTTCCCCTCATGGCCTCATGTAACAAAAAACAACTAGTCTAAGTCTAGATCTAGAAATGTGTGTTGCGTTGAAACCGTGCTGTAAAAATATTTAAGCTTAATCTACCTCCTTCTGTTGATAGTTCTGATGGCCGAAATGAGGGCGTGTCTGCGTTTGAAGAAGTATTATATTATGAGTGTGGGTTCGAATCCCGGTCCCCCGGATGTTTTTTTTTTTTTTTCTTCTTCTTCTCTCTCCTCCCCCGACTGACCAACAATTTTTTTCCCATAATTGTTTGTTTTGACTTCAAAGATTTCCACTCATGGTTTTGTGTAAAAACAAAGAGACATAATAATCTAGATCTAGTCATAATTATAGATCTACTTATATTTTAATAAAAGTATTGATCTAGCCTACTTTTCCTTATAGGCCTACCAATTTAGGTCTGGTTAAAGTTATTACATTAATGCTCAACTCAGGGGAGAACCAACTGGATGACTAGATCTAGTGATCTTGGCTATTTTTACAACCTCCAAAATTCAATTGTACGAATAACTCTGTCTGGTTATTAGTACAATTGTACTTATAACTAGTTAGAGTTATACGCACTATTGTACCAATAACAGCAGCCCTGAATTAAGTTCAGCATGGAGTCCGCTCCAACTTCCAACCCTTGTTGTTCCTAAATATTTCCGTAAATTTTTATTTTCACTCTCGCACTCAGATGCACTGCTTCGGGGGTCAAACTGCAGTACTTACTGTTTGCTGCAGATCACACATAAAGCCACTGATTCTGTCGCAAATGAATTATCAAGAAAATTTCAAATCTAACTCTGTAAAATATCAAATATATAAGCCTATGGTTTAAAATTAGCCGTGCAGTCTCGGCATTGAGAAGAATAGGACTGACGTGGTGCTAGCGTGTCGTACAAGGCGACTAAATGGCAAACCAGGTAGTGACTCCTGAAAGAGAGTCATCCTGCTTCCAGGTCGGGGGTTGAGTCATGAGGCTAACAACCTCTCTCGTAAAAAGAACCTGTTACAGAAACACATACAAGCAAAAACCATTATCTCTGCTTGGCTGATCGTGGATCTTCTCCAAATGGAGAGTTTATGATGCAAGGCAGTGAAAGCCGAAAGGAAGCTGCTGGGCAGAAGTCTCCACCATCATCCAAGTCCAAGTCTCTTCGGATCGGCTCGTGGAACGTTAGGACCCTTTATGAGGCTGGAAAAACTGCACAAAAGTTCTCCAAGAAATGCACCGATACCAACTACACATACTGGGAATCAGCGAGACCCACTTGAACCAGTCTGGACAGAAGCGAATGAAAGAGGGGGAGCTTTTTATTTATTCAGGAAATGACAGTGATGGACCACACAGGGAAGGAGTAGGGATGATCATATCAAAAACAGCTCAAATACATTCAGGGGCTGGGAAGCACATGGTCCAAGGATCATCATGGCCTCATTTGGAACTAACAAAGAACTCAAGGTAAGAGATGGTAGGAAGAAGGTCATTAACATGAACATCATACAAGTGTATGCTCCAACCAATGATGCAGAAGTGGAGAATAAAGATGACTTCTACAACCGCCTGCAGAACGTCATCGACAAACTTCCAGGTAAAGACATCAACATTGACATGGGAGATCTAAATGCAAAGGTAGGTTCGGACAATAGTCACAAAGAGGAAATCATGGGCAGACACGGATTAGGAGAGGCAAATGACAACGGAGAAAGGTTCCAAAACTTCTGTACATTCAACAACTTGGTCATTGGAGGTACAATCTTCCCACATAAAAGGATTCACAAGGCCACTTGGGTCTCCCCGGACGGAACAACGGAAAACCAGATTGACCACTTTTGCATCTCCCGAAAGTTTAGACGCTCACTGGAGGACGTCCGAGTCTTACGAGGAGCAGACGTCGCATCAGACCACCATTTGATCCTTGGAAAGATGAAACTAAAACTGAGAAGATATGCACAAGTCACAGCTGGAAATCGTCTAAAGTATGAAGTGAGCCTTCTGAAAGACCCAGTAAAGAAGAATGAGTTCAAGTTGGAACTGAAGAACAGATTTCAAGCCCTTCAAGATCTGAATGAATGTGAAGTCAACGAACACTGGGATAAGATAAGAGAGGCAGTAAATGCAACTTGCCAGAGCACCCTAGGACCCAAAGACAACACCAGGAATGAATGGATTTCACAAGACTCTCTAGACAAAGTCAAAAGAAGAAGAGAGCTGAAGGCCCAAGTCAACAACAGCCGTACCCGAACTGAGAAACTTGCTGCACAACAAGAGTACACCGAAGTAAACCGGGAGGTAAAGAATTCCATCAAGAAGGACAAGAATACCTACCTGAATGGCCTGGCCGAAAAGGCTGAGAAAGCAGCAACAGACGGGCACTTACAGATTGTACACCAGACTACAAGAACTCTTTCAGGTAGGTTCAGCAAGCCGACTCTACCAGTGAAAGACAAAGAGGGAAAGACTATCTTCAACCCAGAGGGGCAACTTAACCGATGGAGAGAACACTTTGATCAACTATTGAACAGACCACCTCCAGAAAACCAACCAGAAATTCTTCCAGCCAGAAATGACCTCCCAATAGTCGCAGAACCACCTTCAAGAGAGGAAATTGCAGCCGCTATAAAAACACTGAAGTCCCACAAGGCAGCTGGTCCCGACCATATACCACCGGAAGCCCTTAAGGCAGAGAAAGATAGGTTTGTGGAAATTCTCTATGCTCTGTTTGAAAAGGTTTGGCAAAAGGAGGAAATACCATCAGACTGGAAGGAAGGCCACCTAATCAAGCTGCCAAAGAAAGGAGATCTCAGCAATTGTAACAACTACAGAGGCATTACACTCCTGTCCATACCTGGGAAAGTCTTCAACAGGATACTCCTGGAGAGAATCAAGCTGGCAACAGATGAGAAGCTTCGAGGAAACCAGGCAGGATTCCGCAAAAACCGATCATGTGCGGACCAGATCGCTACTCTGTGTATCATTGTTGAGCAATCGCTTGAATGGAACTCTCCACTCGTGGTCAACTTCATTGACTATGAAAAGGCATTTGACAGCGTGAACCGGGAAACTCTGTGGAAACTCATGCGGCATTTTGGAATACCTGAGAAAATCGTCAAGCTTGTGAAGGCCACCTATGATGGAACAAACTGCCAAGTCCTCCATGGAGGACAACTCTCAGAATCATTCCAGGTACAGACAGGAGTGCGACAAGGATGCTTGCTCTCACCTTTCCTGTTCATACTGGCAATTGACTGGGTCATGAAAGAAGCCACCAGAGGCAAATGTAATGGAATACAATGGATCCCTTGGCAGCAGCTGGAGGACTTGGACTTCGCAGATGACCTTGCACTGCTCTCTCACACACATGCTCAGATGCAAGAAAAGACCAAGGAACTCAACAGGCTATCAAGGAGTGTTGGCCTACGTATACATCCAGGCAAGTCAAAAGTAGTGAAGCTAGGAAAAGTTTCAAGCCCTGCTGTGACAGTGGAAGACACTCCCCTGGAAGAAGTGGACTCCTTTACCTACCTTGGAAGTGTCATCGATGGTAAAGGTGGAACCGAGGCAGACGTTAAAGCAAGAACCGCCAAGGCAAGGTAAGCCTTCAAGCAATTATCAAAAGTCTGGAAAGCAAGCAACATCTCGCTGCGCACCAAGATTCGACTCTTTAACTCCAACGTCAAGTCTGTGCTCCTCTACGGCTGCGAAACTTGGAAGACAACGAAAACAGTACTGAATAAAGTCCAGACTTTCATCAACAGATGTATGAGGAGTATTCTAAGAATTAAGTGGCAGGATAGAATAAGAAATGAAGAACTGTGGGAAAGGACAGGACAAAAGAATATAGAAGTAGAAATAGGACTAAGAAAGTGGCGATGGATGGGACACACCTTAAGAAAGCCCAGTGGAAACATCACAAGACAGTCACTGCAGTGGAACCCACAAGGAGCACGAGGCAGGGGTAGGCCACGGGAAACATGGAGGAGATGCATGGAAAGGGACATGAGAGAAATGAAGCTCACTTGGAACGAGCTTGGAAGGATGGCTCAGGACAGAGATAAATGGAAGGAGCTTGTATGTGGCCTATACCCTGCCAGGGGTGAAAGGCATTGATGATGATGATGATGATGGTTTAAAATAGGGGGGGGGGAGGGGAGGGCTGTATCCCCCCAGATTTTCTTTTACCCCAGTTGGGCAGGCTCTCCTTGACTGGTCCAAAGCACGTCTATCTCTATTAAGAACTATTCAGATATTTCAAAAACTATTAATTTGCTACGGAAATGAAGTTGATATTTGTGTTCAATGCATCAATTTGTAGAAAATGGGCAACTGGTAGTTAAGTGTCAGACGGGAGGGAAAGTAAAAAAATACCAATATTTCCAGCATTTCTGAAAACTTTTTCGATTATAATTATAACAATCCAGAGGGTCATACTAAAATGCGAAAAGGCACAAAAAGAGGCGAAAAGGGAAAAGACACGAAAAGATGCGAAAAAGACACGGAAAGACTTCTGATTTGTTTCCTTTCAGACGTCAGACTTATTTTCAGGTTTACTTTTATCAAAATTGGGGTAATCCTTACCATCTACGGTCCCTACAAGTTTGTTTATCTACACAGAGTTTCTATGTACACGGTAACCGGGCTCATAAGTCTCAGAGTCTACGTATTTGGTAACAGGAAGATCCACCCTCGTTCTTCACAGAAGTATCGTGTTGTGCGAGTCACCGTGTTGTATGTGCAGTGTGCTGACTCCGACATTTTCCGATGTGTGCATTGTGTGAGGCCATGTAATTGACAATGGCCATTTCAGCTGCCTTTTTTCTCTCTATGTCCAAGTTCACAGTCATAGACACCTTGTGTAGATTTAGATGCACAACTACTCCATCTGAACCCTTCAGCGGGACTTTACAGGAATCCCCCATTTTTCTATGTAAACTTATTTATTTATGCATGGGTTTAGTGGGGCAAGGGAAGTCCCGAACTTGGATATACAGCGGGAGAGATCAAGCGAGCTCTATCTGGGGGAAGGGGGTTGGGCGATGGGGAGCTGTAGGCCGGCTTAAAACAGGCAGCCAGCAGTGCGGTGTTGTGAATGGCCAGTCCAGTGATGAGTGAGGTGGGTCAGGTGGCAGAGAGACGCATATATATGTGTCTGTGTGAGGTGGGGTGGGGGGGCATCCCGGCGCTGATCGTGGCGCTAAACGCGAGATGCACAGTCTCTGACATCAGCTCCCGGTGTCACTCCCGGTACGGGTACGGTACTGGTGGTTCTCAACACCCAGTACCGGGAGAGGACCGGCATACTGGGTTTCGCCGGTACCGCCCAACACTAATTTGACTGATTTCTATAGATCTAGCGGAAACTTGCCGAGAGTGGGATTTTTCTTCTGGAACCAAAAGTCCCGCTATAGTCATGTTCTACTGTATAACAGCTGTTCATTATATCTCAGCAAGTGTGTGTATGAATAGATCTAAAATATGGACTTTCCATTTTTATGGTACATTTCCAACTTTTTCATTTACCTGCATTTTTCTTCCAGCGTTTTTAAAAGCACACTACACGTAATGCATAAATGATTAAATGGATGGGGTTAAGGCGGAGAAGTTTCTGAATAGAATTGCTTTCAATTTAGGATTTGAAATACATTTGTATGGCTGTGCCGTCTTGTTATTTATGGGATCTAGACAGAAAATAATGGGAAACAGCTCTCATAGAATGGTCCCATTGTACTTGCTGTTTACTTTGTGCTCATAACACACAAAAGAAGGGTGGAAAATAAAAGAAGTCAAGGTCTTGAAGGAAGGGAGCGAAGCAGCTACCGTGCACCTAGCTTAAGGGGCCCCCGAAACTAAGTAGCCAGTTCCCATGTACGTAGATACTGAGACTATGTGCCCGGTTACCGTGTACGTAGACACTCCCTTGTTTATAAATTATATTCCGCCATGATGAACACCCGAGACTCCATAATGAAAGCCAGATTGGCGCATGACGTCCTTTCGATGTTTTATTTTCTTTTTTGTCGCATTTAATCTTTACAATTATTATTAGTAAAATATTATTATTTATGTAATTACTGTTATAGGACTTTCTTTACTTTATGGTGCTGGGTTCCACTGTGACAAGTGGAAATTTACGTTGTTAAACGCGTCTTGTGAATATTTGCCATGCAACTCTCTCCACATGAATTTTTAAATTTTTGGTTAGTGTTTTACGGCGCTCGCAACTGCATTGTAAGGTCATATAAGAGTGGGGGACACCCTCCCAATTAGGACTGGTATCGTATCTTTTCCTGTCTTTTCTCGTCTTTTCGTGTCTTTTTGCCGTGTTTTTCGTCTCTTTTCGGGTTTTTTCTCATTTTAGTATGGCCGAATGAAGACGTGAGCTTTAGTATCCAGTTACAAATTACTAGATCTATGTCTGCTAAACTGACCCTCCCTGCGTCATTAGTATGAACAGAACAACCAAGTTGAGTTAAACTTGCCGGGGGCAAAGTTAATTTTGTTGACCAATGAGATTTGGCATAACAATCACGCACTCTCGGCTTGCTGGGGGAAGAGTTGTTGAGAAGAGGCCACGGCTGTGGATTTTTATGCAATGTGGTTTTGAAATAATATTAATTACTGAAAAACTATAACACTTGACAAAATGAAATTAAAAATGTGGAAAGACAAATTGTGGTGGAAGTAATGATGATGCTTTAGTGGTGGTGGAAAGGCCCTGAGTTGTCGGTTACCGTGTTCGTAGACACTGCCATTGGGCAATGAGAGTGCAGTCTTTTGACTTTTGACACAATTACACAGTCCAAGTAGGTAATTCTAGTTGTAATTCTGGTTTTACGTAAAATTCCCCCGATGACAGTTATATTATGAATCTTAACCTCCTTACACTCACATAACTCACTGAGAGGGCGAGTCCGAATAAATAGACATTTTTTTCAGACCCGAGTCCGAATAGATAAAACCCATTTTCAGACTCGAGTCTGAATAGATAAAAAATCTAATCGGATTTGAGTCCGAATAGAACTGGCGAATGGGGAATCAAGTTTAGCCTACTTGTTCACAGTTGAAACCTAGTTCATTACTCACAGTCTCAGTTCAGTCTAGATCTAGTCTCGAGTCAGTTTGAGTTTGCAAAGGTCGACAGGAGTTTTGAGCCATTTGTGTTTTGATTATTGTCTTCTCTTACTGTCTTGGTTTTACTTAATATGAAAAGTCTGAATTATTGAGTCTTACAGTTTCTAACTCTGTAGGCTAGTTATGGGAAGTATGAACAGTAAAAGTAAACTTTTGGAAATTTTTAGGCCCTATAAGCTTATTATTAACTTATTAAGTTATTAATATACTGGGAATATTATTATTGTTCCACTTTTTATCTTTTTTCTGTTGTATTTTCAGGTAGCCATGTCAGTGTTGCCTTCACATGGTCCGAGCAGGCACCCAATAGTAAGTCTCACAATTAAAATTAATGTATAGTCGGCACCCGTTTTGAAGTGCTTTACCTAGTGTGCAACATCCAGGGGTTACCATGACCAGTGGCAAAGTGTTCATATAATAAAATAATCACTGCTTCCCTTCTTAATTTCTTGGAACATTGTTGCTGTCAAATTCACCCATAGATGGAGGTTTAATAAATTAAATGTAAAAAATTGACTTTCATATCACCAATGAACACTGTGCACACATTTAGAACTGTTTCATTGCCACTTAAATATCCTGTTCACCCCTTTCGGGCCACTCTATAAGCAATCACAAGCTCTGATGTAAGCTTACACTTACTGTTAGACTGATTCTGCTCTCCTAGTAATGCATCTGTTTTATATTATATATACGCTCGTTTATTCCACTTTTCATAAGTCATTACTTACTTTTGCCTTTTCATCCTTTTGTCGTTAAAAGCGCCGAGGGGAGATGCAGTTTTCTATAGTAGACAAGCTCTGCAGCTCTTTTAAGTGGGTTATTATAACTTCTCAGGGTTTCCTTGACTCCCTCAATCCATAAGTCAATAAGTCTTTCCAGGGAGTATTTGATTGTTTTGTGTTAAAGTCAAAATGGTAGCTTTTGCAACTCTACATAGGTAAACTTGGCTGCCCTCAGTGCATCAAACCATATCAAATGGTATAAAGTTTGATGAAAATTTATGTACTGTGCACTCTGTATTAAGATTTCATGAGCAATTTGAAAATTTTATGGACTGTTTTCATTTTCAGTTGAGTTATGCAACTTTTTATCTCCAACAGTTAGAAGACTTCCTTCGCCTGTATCCAAGTTGTGATGAGGATCTCGCTGACAGAGTGTTTTTGATTTATCAAGATCTGACGGAAGGTGAGAGGAATAATAACGTGGTACCACAGATCAGCAACATTGTAGACTTAGTCGTGCCACCCTCTCCACTACCAAAAATAGGAATATTTCTCGAAATCCTCCGTAAAATTTGGAGTTGGGAGCTGGGGATCGGAGTCCTCAGAACCCCAGTATCTTAAAATTATATTACGAACCAACCATAGCAAAAACAGATGTGTGGCATCATGGCAGAATAAGGTGTTCATCAAAATACTTCAATAAACGAAACTGACATTCTTCCACCTGTTGTTCAATCTTTGTAGTTTTAAAAAATCTTTTGGCTCAATACCTTTGAAGTCTAGTTACGATTAAGAACAGGTTTCTGTGTAGATTTTACTGAAAAGTGTTGATTGAAAGGCAATTTAAATGTAAACATGCAGTTTGTAATGACACTGAAGCTTTGGAGTCACCAAAAATTGGCAGCCATTTCTCGTTAATTTTATCTCTGACACCAAGGGACCCCCACGTTCTTCAGTCGTTAAAGTCTTGACTTCTGTTCAAGATAGATGGGTATTTTTTTCCCCACGAAAAGCAAGCCAAATAAACACAAGCTTTAAGATGATACCAAAAACTCTATGCCCCAAAATTTATGAGTGCTTGATTCCACCATGTCGTTACACAAATGTTATGTATCAATTAAAAATGTGTATTTTCTCACCATTTACAATAAAAAGTCACACAAATAAATGCAAATTAACCTGTGTATTTTCTCATAATTTATGATAAGTTGTATAAAGATGGAAACCGAATTCAAGACAAAAGTCTTATTTTATGCAGGTCCAATCAGGGTTCTTTGACATCCATTAAAAAATCAGAGGACTCTGGTTTTATCGGAGTACTTGGCATGTCTATTTCTCCCTTGCAATGATCTGACCATTTTTGCCCCCCAAGGTACGATTACATTTCAGAATAAAACACCTTGCTATTTTGAGTACCATCTTCATAGTATTTATCATTTGTTAGAGTAGTCACACGCCGTACTCTTGACACTCTTTATTTTAGACTGATTTTTTTTCAGTTCATAATTTTATAAGTGCCGCCTTGTTAAAAATCATGGTTGCTTAAATACCATTGCCAGTCTGTTTGAATTCTTGTACGTTTTCCTCCTGCTTTTGTTTTTGTAATTTGATCATCTTTACCTGTTTGAACAAGTATAAGATGTAGTAATTTTCATATATATATTAAGATTATGTCTGACCTCAGCTTGTGAGCGCATTCATATATATCTCTTTGATTCGTTTCTTATTGAAGGCTATTGTTGAGAAGGAGCTAGACAGATTAGGCAGGTTACCGGCATTAAGTTAAAAATGAATCCCTACCGAACACTTAAAATACTACGGTCTGCTTGATTTGTTCAGATCATGGGTACCTTTCGAACGTGGCATAAGACAACTGGAAATGTAGGGAACATAATACTGGGAGTCCACTGAAACTGAAAATGGTTCATCCAAAAACATTGGTAAACCGAAAGAAAAGAAAGTCCCTGATTGTTTTTCATCTGTTTGAGCAACCTTTCCAAACTGAAAACTGGACTAAACTGAAGAACATTTAGTGGTGCTGCAGGTTATCAGTTTTAGCAGACTCTACTGGAATTAAATTTAAATAAAATTTTCTTGAAAATCTGTCTTCTGAGCTGATAAATATCGTAAAGTCATCAGTTGACTACTCCTAAGGTCTAGTGGAGGAACACAGAAGAAGATGAAGAAGAAGAAGGAGAAGGAGAAGAAGAAATAAACAACAACAACAGGAACAAGGAGAAAAAGAAGACTCAACTGCATATATTTGAATATGATACTAATATGAGCAAACATTTTTTTCCCCTCTGTCTCTAACTTCCTACACACAGTGCGAGGCTGGTGGTACACAGAGCTGGCCTACAGCGACACTCTCGGCCGGCCGTTTGTGATTGGTAAGCGAAACCGCCAGACACCGAGGCAAGCCGTCTTACCTTTAGGATCTGAGGAGACAATCTCGCTCGTCGAAGCTCAGCACATGTTTTCTGGGATCATGATTGACGGAGAACCTCAGAAAATGTAAGTACAGTCAAATTCTGTAATACCAACCCCCTTCCCCCCTCCCC